AGTGGAAAAGTGGCCAATATAAGATAGGAATGAGAAGGATAACAACAGTGACTCCGGGAAGAGGGAAGTCACTGCTGCTGTGGCCACTAGGGGAGGGCCACCCCGAAATTCAATAAGGAAGAAACCGCTTGCGTTTCCATGGCACCTTGGCATTGCCGAAGGGAAACCTTGGTTGAAGATGGGAATGACTCGTGAAACTTGGCAGGAGAGCATGGACAATGCGCAATGTCTTAAATGCGGCGCACCAGGACACGTGATCGCATACTGGCCGATGATTAGAAACCCCAAAGCGAGCAGCCAGGAGTAGCATCTGCTCCTACTGAGATTAAGGGTAAGGACAGACAAACAGGTAAGGCGCCTACGAACCCTTCCTACCCTTCTTCTCATATGGCAGAGGATGATTCTTCCTTAGCCCATCATCCAGACCGTGACAATGTCTTATGTTTTGTCTCCCTGGATGACTCCCTTGATGAGCTAGGTAATGAATTGCTAGCCTTACGTAGCTCATGGGTTCGAAAAACAAAGTCTAAGGGTGAATTGTTGTTTGCAAATGTTGAAATCGCACGAACACGAGTAAGTGCGTTATTGGACCCCGGATCGACGAGGTCCTACATATCCGAGAAAGCAATCTGGAAGTTGCATCTCGGAATGAAGGTAAAAAACTTGTCTCGACCAATCACGTCTGTATTAGCAAACAAGAGTACGATCACTGTCTCCCAGTATGTTGATCGTATTAAGTGTCAGTTTAGAACTAGAGAAGGGAAGAAGATTACGCATGAGTTATTCTTCCTAGTTGAAAATAATTTGCCTTTTGATCTCATTCTGGGTATGGACTGGCACAAGGAAGCCAACCTGGACATTGATTTCAAAGGTAAGGTTGTGCAACTTAAGGATCATTCGATGGTTTCAAAGAAAAAGTTGGAACAGGAAGTTATGATGGTATTAGTAAAGAAAGCCGGCGAGTCTTCTTCTTCCTGCCCTCCAACAATTGAAAGTCTTCTTTATGAGTTTAAGGATCTGCAGACTGGACCTTTCGGAATCATGGAAGGTGCTATTAAGCACACCATTGAAATCATTCCAGGTAGTAAGATTCCCAAGGGACCTATCTACCAAATGTCTTTCAGGGAACTTGATGAACTGAAGAAACAACTGCAGGACGTTATTGACAAGGGATGGATTCGCCCTAGCTCATCTCCCTATGGTGCACCCGTTTTGTTTGTGCCCAAAAAGGAAGGTGAACTGCGTCTTTGCATTGATTACCCAGGGTTGAATGTCGTCACTGTCAAGAATGCCGAACCGCTTCCTCGCATTGACGACCTACTTGATCAACTGCAGGGTTGTAAGTATTTCAGTAAGATTGATCTAAAGTCTGGGTACCATCAGATCGAGGTGGAACCTGCGGATCAACATAAGACTGCATTCCGAACAAGGTATGGTCATTATGAGTTCGTGGTAATGCCTTTCAGATTGACAAATGCCCCTGCGACGTTCCATCGATCAATGAATGAGTTGTTTCGTCAATGGCTGGATCAGTTCGTTATTGTCTGTCTTGATGATATTCTCGTGTATAGTAAAACGTTAGAAGAACACGAGAAACATCTTCGTCTAGTACTAGAGAAGTTGCGAGAGGGCAACTTCAAGATAAATCCAAAGAAGTCAGAGTTCGCTAAGTTTGAAGTCATATACTTGGGACATATAGTGAATGAAGGCCTCAGACCGGAAGAAAATATGATATCAACAATTCGAGATTGGCACCCAAGTCTGTAATTGAACTACGATCTTTCCTTGGTTTGGCAAGTTATTATAGGAAGCTCGTCAAGAACTTCTCGCTGATCGCCGCACCAATGAGAAGATTGTTGAAGAAAGGAACTATCTGGTTGTGGGACAAGGACTGTGAGTCTTCCTTTAGGAAGATGAATTATGCTTTAACTCACTATCCTGTTTTGAAAATTGCTGATCTGTCACTTCCCTTCATTGTTACTACTGATGCAAGCCAATACGGAATTGGCGCAGTCCTTCAACAGAACTACGACAATGGTTTCAGACCAATTGAGTTTGTCTGCACGATTGCCATCAGAAAAATGATAACTCCACATACGAAAGGGAATTGTATGCCTTGGTCTGTGCGTTGGACACATGGAAGCACTACTTGTTAGGAAGACACTTCACTGTGTACTCGAACCACTCTATTCTAAAGGAGAGCCGGTTAACTGACCCCCCATTTTTCACCTCAGTTTATAAGAAAACCATAAGGTCATTTCAAGCAAACTCCACACCAATGTATAGAGTGCACTTCTTACTAACATATTATTAAAAAAAAATAAAAATTATAACACATTAAACGGCACCTCAAAAGTGCATTTTCAGGCAATTTTGCCAAAAACAATTTCATCGAGATTTCAGGATTTTCAGGATGATCAACAACACAAATTCTAATAACCCTAATGACACCAAATTTGGCACACAGCAAGCTTGTCCAAAAACAAAAACAGCCAAAAAAAAAAATCCAAAAAAACATAAAATTTGACCCCGGAACCCTAATTTCAGGATCGTTCATGGTTACTCAGGGCCGAAAAGTGGGGGTCCCCATTAACCGCTTGTGTTCTAAAGTGGATAAAAACACAACCTAGGCTCTTTGATAAGTTAGTACGATGGTCTGCATTCATTTATACTTTTGATTTTGAATTGAAAACTATCAAAGGTAAGTCTAATGTGGTTGCAGATGCATTGTCCAGACGTTGTGATTTCTTTGGTACTATTGTCTCTCACTTGGAGGTTGGGAGTGATCTGAAAGATAAAATTTGTCAAGGATAGACTATTGATCCTATTTGGAAACCTATCATGGATGTCCTTGTGAAAGATCCATCTCTACTTCCTAACTATAGAATAACTGATGGTTTGCTTTTCTTGCTAGACCAAACTGAACAAAGATTGTGTATTCCTCATCAAGAAGAAATTAAAAGTTTGTTAATTGGGGAATGTAACGACACTGAAGGACATTTTGGTTTCAAGAAAACTTACGCTGAGGTTAGAGAACACTTTGAATGGAAGGGATTAAAGGAAGACGTACTAACTTACGTTTGTACATGTTTGGAGTCTCAGAGAAACAAACCTTCACACGAATCCACTTGGTCTTTTGAAACCATCACCGATTCCTAGTGAACCAGGTGAGTCTATCTCCATTGATTTTATGAGCCTCACCAAAAGCCGAAATGACAATAGTGAAGTAATGGTTATTGTGGATCGTTTCTCTAAATATGCCATGTTTATTCCCTTACCCGCAGAAGAGCGAACAAAACTTGTCATACGAAAGTTTCAGATGTGATGGGTGACTGAGTATGGTTTTCCTCTCTCTATTGCATCTGATCGTGATGCCAGGTTCACAAACATGCCATGGCTAAAGCTCATGGAAGCATACGGTACACGATTGACCATGTTGTCAGGGCTACACCCTGAAACAAATGGACAAAGTGAACAGATGAACCGTTTGTGTCAGCAACTTTTGCGTATGTATGTAAGACCCGATCAGATTGATTGGGACGTGAACTTACCCAAGATAGCAAGTGCATACAACAGTAGTGTTCATACTGCTATACTCCGCTCAATATGCTCTGAAGTGGCCTAAGGCCACACACAGGCTGCGACCTCGGTCCAAGGCCGTAAGGGCCAAGGGAAGGAAAACCCCTTGGATGGGCCCAGGGCCTGTGCGCCCGACAGTTGACTTTGGTCAACCGCCCAGCGGCCCAAGAGTCAAAGTCTGCATGTACCCAGCCCAGGCCGCCGGCCAGACACACACTTGTGTGTATGCAGGTACCGAGACAGCATCAGGACCAAGTGGAAGTCTGCAACTGTACGTAATCCAGGCCCTCGGCTGTGAGTCAGTCTGAGCCACAGTGGGTGGGACACCTGAAGACTGTCAGCCTCGTCAAACATGATATAAGGCCTGGCCTCCAGGGAGTCAACATTCAGTCTTGCTATGCTGCCTTGATGCTGGCTGTGCGCTGGCACTGTGGACGACGCGAGACTGCTGCTGCACGCTGGCGCCTTTCTGCTTTGGCGCCTGCCTATGCTGACATGGTGTAGGGCCACTCTGTCTTTAACATATCTGATGTGGTGCATGCCACTCTGTCTCCGTTGCTGACGCGGCATTTGCCATATTGCCTACATTGTTGAATTGGATGCGACAAGGAGGGAGATCGGGATCTGTGGATGATTGAGAGGGAACGGGATACTCACCTGTGGTTGATGTGGATACTGTGTGCTGCTGATTGTCTCCAACGTCCTCGTGAGAGAACCGTGCCACGTGGCACTTCGATGTGATCAGGATCTGTCAGGCTCGTTACTGGATACTGTTTTGCTGACGTGGAAGAGAAGGGAAGCCTGGAGAAGGAGTGGGAACTGTTGGGCTACTCTTTGTGGTCATTGATGGTTACTATCTCTTCCACCTTCTAATCTGTCTATTCCCCCTCCACTCTCTTCGTCTACTGGAAAGGAGATATTGTATCAGAGATCACATTCATGATTATTGGAGACATTGTTCAGAGTTGAGTTACTTTGTATTTCGACATCTGTCGAGTATCTTACAGACTGGGTTCATTACACATCCAAGCAAATTAGAAAAGATTGGAAAGTCTTGCTAGAGAAGGTGATAGATCTGTATATTTTGTCCAATCGCTTTCATTTCAAGAAGTGAAACGCCCGCCGTATTGTATCCTGTTTACTCCAGAGATATATGGCATTGATTCTGGAAGTGCGAGCGTAACGGTTTTGTTTGACATCTTTCTAAGAAGACGAGCTCTCACTGCATTCGTTCCTGTCTTGACTATGGGCAACCTTGCCTACGTTGTATTATTGCCATTAGGGGGAAAAAAATCTTTAGAAAAGGGTAAAGGCCGTTATACGTCTTTGAGTTCCTGCTTTGTGGACAAGTATGTGCTCCTGTTGCTCGTTTGGATTACTTACTCCATGTTTGGCTGATTGGTTTCGGGATTGTTTTGCAGGTGTCTGTGGGGGGGGTCCTCTGCAATCGTTTTGCTATTTTGTCGCTGAATAGTATTTGGTGTGCCCTTCCTGGCGGTGTCGTCTCTGAAGAGAACAGAGTCACAGTTGTCATTAGATGGGGTTGTAAGAAGTCACAAGCATCATCATCCCACAGAAGTGCTGTGCAAGCATTTGCACAGCAAGGGTTAATGCAAAAAGGATCTGCGAGGAGCCTCCTGTCTACATTTAATTCTCCACCTGTGGTATCCAACTTTGAAAAATGCTTTGGGACCAATGTTGAAGCATGTCCCGGTGTCGGAAACTATACTCAAGTGTTGGACAACTGCACCTGTGCCTGTCTGGAATCGTGGGCCGGCAAGAAGTGTGACGTGTGCCGTACAGATCAGGCGTGTCAGGTCAGGTTCATAACTTCATAGAGCTTTGCCTCTTCTTTTTCTGCATTTGGGTAAATGCACCAATATTTATTATACTACCATAATAGTGTTATGACTTAACTGTATGGTGTTCGTGTCTATCTTTTAAGGTTTTCATAGTTACGATTAAGCGCCCTGCTTTGCATGCCTTCGGGTATAGTGCTACCTTCCACAGTGCGGTCTGGAAAAACTGTCTGTGGTGCACCGGGAAATAATAATAATAGTAGTAATGAATGATAATAAGAAATTCAGAAGTAACAAAAAGGTGTAAAAATCGTTTCAAGGAATATGATCTTGAGTGAAGTCTTTCAGGCAAAAGTTGCTCAAAATAATGTTTTGCATCGCACAGATTTTTGTTGCACTCTTGAAATTTTGTTTCAATTCTTTTTTGGTGTAGGTGCATTGTGCAGAGTATGAGCTTGGAAGTATGTCATATTATTGTGTTTACTTCTTACAATGTGCCACTGTATATCTTTTCAGATTTTTGAAGTCCCGGTTTATATATGTATAAATATGTATATATATGGGCAGCTCTGTTTGACTATATATAGCCTCCTGATGAGTTGGTGAAACTCCGACGAAACAGTTTGTCACAGCCCCTCGTTTGTTGTCCTCTTCTCCCTCTCTGCCTACGGTTTTACCGGGCAGTTCTGTTTGTGACGATATATATATTGTCATTGCAAACTGCCCTGTGAACCTTAGGCACAGAGGGAGAAGAGGACAACAAACGAGGGATGAAGACGCTGCTGCCCCTCATGGACAGTTTGTTGAACAATGATTGATTGAGGGTTGCAACAGACAGTTGCGGCGAATGCTGTAAAGACCACGTGTTGCGTAGGTAGGGATGGGGACATTTCATGCCAACCTCTATTTCCAGCCATCCTCAAGATTGGAAGGCCAAAAGGATATGGCAACCATACCAAGCGGTGCTCAGTGTTACGCCCGCAGCCATAGAGTTTTGTTTAGATTATATATTTCCATACTCATGGCTGCCACCCTGGGCAGACACTTTTAACCTTCCACCATTGGCAGAGAATCTGCCTCGAGATGCCTTTGCTTTCGGTCCGTACCTTTCGCTTTCGTTCCTTGTCTCGTTGAATGTTATGCCGCATCTCTCTTTCCAGGTAGCGGGAATGCCGCTGTCTGTATCAGTACGGACCACGCCTTTTCTGGCTTGCTGAGATCAGCCGGAGTGTTAGTCCAGAGAAGACGTTGAACGGCTGTTCTGGAAAAGAGCAGGGAAATAAGTTGCCGCAAAGGTCGGAAGGTCTTGCCTGGTATGCTAGAGGTTCCTTACAGTTGACTAGGCAATCCACCAGGTCTTCCGATTTGTGGTCTGGGCATGCTAGACAGTGATCAAAGCGACCAGGTCTTCCTGTTCGTGGTCTGGGCAGACTGGACAGCAATCAAAGCCATTTGGGTCATTGTTCCTTCTCCTTGTGCAGAGCAAGACGTCTACTGAAAGGGCTGCATACGTGTAGACTTGTAACATTAATAATTGGTTGTGTAGTCCTGAACATCCCCACACTATAGCAGTCGCTAACGTGAGATATCCAAGATCCGGGCCGTACGCAGTCCTCCTGGACAGATGAAAGATAGTCGCAAGATTTTAAGATGTTAAGATCGTGGGAGGATCTGGGCTGTGCGCCTGGTGCCACTGGGCCAACGGACCGGATCAAAGAAAAATTGCCCTACTGCGCAGGTAAGCCCTACCGGTGTCCGTTGAAAAGAGGGCCTGCCGTGTCCCCTCACCAGACTGGTGCGTCCCAGGTGTTGATGCGGCGAATACCGCCGTGTGTTTCCCTCAACTGCCTGGCTGCCGGGCTGCTGCTGTGCCGTCACCCGTTGGAATGTACTCCCTGCTGCCACTGTGACCGTCTGCTTTGCCATGCGCCAGACTTGGACGAGGACCCTTACTAATTCAATGACTATGATGATGACTACGACAACGATACAATACTACCTCGAAAATGAGGACGATGCAGGGCGCCCCCCCCTCAGGCCCTTCGATGCGGATGACTCTGTGTGTGTGTGTGTGTGTGTGTGTGTGTGAGAGAGAGAGAGAGAGAGAGAGAGAGAGAGAGAGAGAGAGAGAGAGACTACTACCCCTGCACCCCCTAGCTATGTCCGCTGATGAGGCGCTATGTAACAGCTTACTACTACGCTCTCGCATCTCACCACCRCTCCCCTAACTATCGCTGCTGACGCAGCACTAACCCAGAAGCAAAAAATAAATTCGGGCCATTTCTTGATTTGTGCATGTTGTTCTTGTGCAGGGGCCATGCCAATCTACTTCATGACAAGTGCAATGTCTCCATTTGTGCGTGTAGAGCGAGCGAGCGAGAGCGAGAGCGAGAGAGAGAGAGAGAGAGAGAGAGAGAGAGAGAGAGAGAGAGAGAGAGAGAGAGAGAGAGAGAGAGAGAGTTCTTTGCTGCCCCACCCCTTTCTCTATGGCTGGCACCCCCAGGACTGCCTGCTGACGAGGCAGTACCTAACTGTTTACTACCATGCGCCCCCCAATATGACCCCCACCCCCCTAACTGTGACTGTTGACCTGGCACGAATTAAGAAAAAAGGGTTAAAAAAAAGGATTGGGCCCTCGATTTGTGCATGTTGTCATTGCACAGGGGTCATGCTAAACTACTTCACGGTAAGAGATGGAGAGAGAGAGAGAGAGAGAGAGAGAGAGAGAGAGAGAGAGAGAGAGAGAGAGAGAGAGAGAGAGAGAGGCCACTTCCTGCCACTTGGTGTCAACGATTGTCTGCCTGCTGCTGTCCTTGGAAGAGTGCTAGTGCTGAAAAGTAAAGTGGTTTCAGGAAAACAGTCATCGGCCGACGTAAGCATGTTGGCATTTGCTTTTGTTTCTGTTTCTTCCCGAGCTAAACATTATGTATAAAATTCTGTTGTGCATGACAAACTGCCATGCATGTGCTCATCAACACATACCACTAAAGCTTAGTCAACCTGGGCGTGGCGCTGCACGCGGAGCCGGTTTTTTTCTGTTACGTTTTAGCCATCGGATTGTGATCTGTGCGGATGAAATTGCTGGAAACCGTATGTTCTAACTGTTTTGCGCGCTCCACTTTTGTGGCACGTCAGCTTTTTCGGGTGCTGTGGTTTTGACGCGTGAGTGGTCTCTTTGTTTTTCTTTTGTTCTTTAGTTTTCAATGTATTGCGTTGGCGTCGTAGATCTCCCACTATCGAATGGGTTTCCCGCGAGTTGCTAAAGTTAGTGTTTGTGGAATCGGTCCTGAGAAGTGTGGGCCTCCCTACTCTGCACAGCACTGTACATGGATTTAGAATTTTAGATGCTTTCTGTGCCAGGCGCATTCTGGTCGGAAGCTGTTGAATCGCCGCCGTGTCAGGATGTCAGACACCAAGTAAAGGAAAGTTGCCAAAACGGGGGTAGTGGCCAAAATGGGGTGAACTTGCCAAATTTGGGAAACACGATAAAGAATTTTGAGAGGGTGTGGGGACAATTTCCCTAAATGGGCAAGATGCTCTGACACGCGATTTCGTTTTCGGGCATGATTTTTACGGTGCGTTCTGGCAAGTGGCCCGTTTCCGGTGCATGTGGTGGAGAGAAGGGGGCTCGTGCATGTGCGGTGTTGTGTAGTGGAATGAGTTCTGGTGAGAGGCCTGTTTTCGATGCATGTGGTTGAAATATCGGACGGATGCATGTGAGGTGCCTTTTGTTGCGTCCTGGCGTGTGTCCCGTTTTGGATGCATTTGGTCCAGATATGGGGCCGCGTGTATGTGCGGTGTTATGTAGTGGAGCGACGCCCTTTCTCGTGCTAGGAGATCCGTGCTGTTCAGTTTGGGGAAAAAAAAAGGGAAGGCGGATGGCCCGTTTTCGATGCATTTGGTCTAGCTTTGGGGCCGAGTGTATGTGCACACTTTGATCCAGGTGCTTGGGTCTTTTGAGAGAGAGAGTGAGAGAGAGAGAGAGAGAGTCTGCATCGGACGGTTGCCTCCACCGTTACTGCGTCACCTGTCGTATTTGTTTTTGTGAGCGAAGCTGCAACAGGTCATCCAGTGAGAATGAATCTTTCTCTAAAAGCTGCCATAACCCTTTTTGCTTGTGAATTTGGTGAGTAGTGTGGGGAGGCCCTATGCCCAGGGAAAACAAATGGGCAAACTGAGCCCCTAGATGGCCAGTGTGCCCTTTTCTCTTGGTAAGTAGTAATAGATGCTGTTTTTTTCTCGGTGAGGACCTCTATGCCTCCCTTCTCTCCACTCTACTCTCTACTTTCTGCTCTGCTGTGCTGTACTGTACTCTTTACTCCCAACTCTACGCCACTCTCTATTCTCTACTTTGAACTTTCTGTATTCTCTGCTTTGAACTACGCCACTGTCTATTGTCAACTCTCGACCCTTTGCTACTCTCTACTGTCTGCTCTCTCCTCTGCTCTCTGCCGTGCTCCCTACTCTCTGCACTCTGTTCTCTACGCTACTCACTGCTCTCTACTGTGTTTTCTGCTCTTCTCTCCGTGCTACTCTCTACTCTACTCTACACTACTCCACTGTACTTCTACTCGCTCTACTCTGCTCTCTACGTTGCACTACTCTCTAGACTACTCTACTTTCTTCTCTACTCCATGCTACTCTCTACTCTCTACTCTCTACTCAACTACTCTCTACACTACAGTACTATCTATCGTGCCACTCTCCTTACTCTACTCTACCTACTATCTACTCTACTTTATGCTACTATGCTGTACTCTTCTTCACTCGACACTGAACTCTTCTCGGCTTTACTCTATACTAGCTACTTTACACTGCTCTCAACTCTGTTCTCTACTGTCTTCTCTCTACTGTATACCATATCTGCACTTGATAGTCTCGCTACTCTAATCCACTCTACTCTCCACTCTCTATTTACTCTCTGCTCCATTCCACTCTATTCTACTCTATTCTCTATTCCACTATTCTCTACGCTCTACTCTTCTCTACCCTGTACTCTACTGTGTGCTCTCATCTAC